TCAAACACACAGTCCCGCTTGGAGTGACCCACGCGTCCACAGTGGTAACAAACCGTCGGTAGGAACTCGTACTTGAGATTGACCCAGAATTGTCCCAGCTCCTCGCTTACTGCCATGATTTGGGAACGCAGAGGCTTTGTAAAATCCAGGGTTCAAGAAGGCGCGCCTAGGCGCACGCCTAGGCTCAATTAGGCGCTAGGCGGTGGAGGATCGCCTTGACTTGGCCATAGGCGTTGTAAAAGGCGCTGGTAGCGCTTAGTAGGTAGGAATAGCGCTTAGTTTGCGCCTAGTGGAGAGAAGGCGTGCTTGGGCGTTCCTGTGCGAGTTTAGGCGGTTAAACCCAATACTCTTCGTTTTGTCCTAGAAAATCAGAAAATTGCCTCTTGCCCTAGAAAATCAGAAACACGGGAAGAGGATGACCATGCTATGTATATATTCGTAGATGAGGATGAGGAATCATATTGTGCACCCTCGAGTACTGTTACAAATGCAATGGCGGGTGAACAGAATGAGCTTCGCAGGAGTGCACGAGTGAGAGAGCTCCATGATGAAGAATTAGAGTCTGAAGAGGAGGAAGAGGAGGAGGATGGTGTGGAGATTGCTTTTGAGGATGATGAAGATGAAGTGGTGGCTGGACAGACCTACTTGGATGATGGAGAATGAACATTTTCCTATGAACTTTTTGACTATTGTTTAGTATTTCGACATTTTATGAACTTGTGATTCTAAGAAGTGGTCACTATTTGCTTGTTATTTGTTATGTTAAGTGTTTACTGTTAAGAACTAGGCATTGCTAATATTATATGCACTTGGATTATATGAATTATTCCAGAAAACAGGAAATATTTGAGAACTTTTTCCATTTATGCTCTGAACGCCTAGGCGCGCCTAGGCTACGCCTAATCAGGCAAGGCACAAGTCAGGAGCCGAGCGCCTGCCTTACGCCTAGCGCTTTTTAGAACCTTGGTAAAATCAATAAGGGCGAGCACTTTTACAAAGCACTCATCAGTTTCCTTAGATGCAAACACATCTGCCTCCAGAACCTGGCCGATAGTTCCTGCTGCCATTTTCCGGCCAAACTGCTTAGTGCAGCAGTCATCCTTCACATTCCAGAGTTGAACGCGAAAGGGAGCCAAGGCTAATTCATCGAAGGTGTGCCTGGAAATGGATGGCGTCCATGATCGGAGATGGAAAATCCTGTCGTTGACAATCCAGGGCGTTCTTTTCAGGATCCACACCCTTGTTTCATCACTCGGAAGCACCACTTCGAACAGGCCAAATTGAGTAATAGACACCCTAAGGTTGCCTTTTATCCGCCATGCTTCAGCAAGTCCTTTCTTCAACTCTGCAGCAGTGAATTTGGCCTCTGAAAAGAGCCGTCCCAGAAGGGTCGTAGCAGTGCGAAATCTCACAGATTGGACCTCCTCCAGTGAAAATTCAACCACTTGGTCCTCGGCAATTCGTGACATCGTATTCACCTGACAAGCATGGATCGATAAATCATTAGAATCAATAGGAAGGGTCGATTCTGTCATTGGAATAGGTAACAGTATATTAATGGGAGTAACTAAAGTGCATTTAGTATGAAGGGTATTCCCGCTAAAATTCACTCCCATCGACTGACTCCCGAAGGAATTAGAACTAAAATTATATTGCCCGAAGGCTAAGTCTTCATGTTTTATGGAGGCGATGGTGCTGGATATGTCCGGGCTCACCAACCCTGCCAACGAACTTGGCGGCGGATCCCCAGCGGCCATCATCAATCTCCCCACGTTCCCCAGGGCTGGGGGTGCCTGTACGACCCTATCAGTAAAAAGGGAGCTTGGCAGCGGATTCCGGGAGGCCAATATCAATCGTCCCCCGTTCCCCAGGGTTGGGGATGCCTGCACGACACCATCAACAGAAAAGGGAAGTGATCGAAATCCTGTACCTGGCACAATCGCTTGCTCCCGCCGCTGCTTGCTGTGGTAATTTCTCGTCGATATTGAGGATGCCGACCCGCGTTCTCTGCACAAAGGGAAGTGAGTGATTGGCAGTGGAATTGGGGAAACAAGGACGACACCTTCCGAAGAGGACAGAACGGGACGAATCCCTGTACCAGGCGCAAGTTTAGCCACCGACCTCTGTTGGATGAAGGAGACCACTGACCTCTGCTCAGGGGAAGATTTCCAACTTGGCTCTCTGCACAATGAGAGGGAAGCCAACCGTAGTGGGTTCTTATAGGGCCTAGGCCCCTTGTCTCCTAAGGGAAAACGGAATCCCCAATGGCCAGTATCAATTGGATTTGGAGTAGGATTCGTAGACCTCCATCCCTTGCTTTCAAATTGGTTTTTGACGCGGATACTCGCTCCTAGAATCCCGCTCAACAGAACAGGGAATCCCGGAACAGTCCTAATTGGAAACGGCATGTTTTTCAACGGACACATCAGCCGGCACCGGAATTCAGCCGCCGCCGTCCCGCTGGTCCTCTTAATTTCCGAGTCGGTGGGTATTGAGGGCTGTTTTTGGCTTGTCGCCGCCCTTCTCACCGACGACACGCAGGGACTCTCATCCCCCAAGGGGCTAATGCAATCAACTGCTTTTTTCCTAATCGAAATCACGGGGTAAATCCCCTCCCCGAAGGGATATGACTGAGCTAGGTTAATTAGAGGAGCTAGGTGCTCAGTCCTAGCCTCTGCTTTGTGCGTATTCCACCCCGCGAACAGGGCTGTCTCATAATCATCTTCATCCACCTCAAACGAGTGAGGGAGTTTGAATCGCCACAGGATATTTGGCTCCTTTCGTAATTTCTTGGCTGGGCGAACCTCAGGGGCCTCCATTTCCTCAAAAGCCAACAACCGCGGCCGTTTGAGCATGTGTCGCTGCCGTGCTCTGCGCCAATCCGTCCTCCGAGCCGCCTTTGGCGACAAGAGTACCTCGACAGCAAGAAGGCGGAAGCCAAATTCGGATTGTTTGGCCCATCGTCCTTCATTCCGGGCGCAAGCAGGTGCCAGATTATTTGGCCCATCGTTGCTTGTTTGATTCCGCCAACTCGCTTCGAAGACAACGACGGCGGTCCTGTAGATCCACCGCCCTAGCATCGCACACAGGAACAGGAGAGAGGAGAGAGCTCCTCTCATTTTTTTTTTTTTTGAATTAAGTTACATATACCTCCAATTAATTGGAGCTTTTGTTGGATTTTGATTGTCACGAATGTAACTAAACAGTCAAGCAGATGATATTTCAAATAATCGTCTAGTGCCAATATACAACTTAATTAGACAAACTATATATCAAATAAAAGCATAACAAAACATCGAAGACTTTTCATTCCTAATACAGAACACTAATTCCTTAACTCTTTCGATTAGTTCAAAATGAGGTATCAATTTCAAGCCGGACATGATCTTTAAACATACCTATTAAAAAAAACTTGATCACTAAAATCCTCTCTTTGACTTAGCATGTAAAACTGTCGTGTAATGAAAAGGAATAACCAACTTCCGCAGATTCCTTTTTTAGTGCACATCATTCATCACATCTCTACGCAATATCATAATTAGCTCGCTTAGTAGGAAATTAGGAATGTCAACCGAGCGGACAATATAATATAAGTACCTCAGATAATACAGATCCATCTCGTGTTAAAGATGAATCGAGTAAAGTAATACTACGCAGTTATTTAACATGTCGATAAGCGTAACATATTGTGTTCAAAACGAGATGAGATAAGTCGAATGTTCATTAATATAGAGTTTGATTTTGCAGTTGACTACTCGGCAAATATTGGTCCTACTGTTGATTTTGGCACACAAACCCTTAATACTGCGCAATCCAAAATTAAAACGTTGAATGTACCATAATGTTATGGAAGTTTCCTCATGATCGGAGTATTACTTTTATGAATTTGATGTCGTAGCTTCTTTTTTAATGTTAGGTATCAAATTGTTTTATACTGCTTTTATTCGTACTATTATTCATTAATCTTAAAATCAATATAGTAAATTAGACGTCCTATAATGAGCCCAATAATTGCCTTTCCACTTGCTTTAGGTTTTGTTCATACGGTACCATCCGACAAAACTCCAACCCGGACATTGATTCGATTCGACTTGAATTAGACAAAAGGACAGAAGGGCAAAGGCCCAGAGTCACCACGAAGACTCAAATACGACCTTTTTTCTTTCCTTTTCTGAGTTTTTTTATTGTAATTTATGATTTAATGATAAATCGCTAAATATAGCATGTTATAGTCTGTCCGATATTGTCATCCAATTGAATTTGACGTTTAGAAATAATGATATCAAGCAGAGTCGCTCGCTTGGATTAATAGTGATCAGAAGCGATCGATGAATTTGTAGAGTTCATTGATAAAAAGAATCGAAATTTTATTTGTACAAGTACAACCATCTATAGGATTAATGTGGCACAATGCGACTTATCAAGATCTGTACATCCAAATAAAAGAGTAGTTCAGAATAATTAACATATTGTTGCAAAATGAATATCATTCTTAATAAACACGAAAGAACATTTTTATGGTAATTTTGCGTGGATGGAAAAAAAATTCCTGATAAGTTCAACACACTAACTACTTGGAATACGATTTTTTTTTTTTGTCATAGATAGATCGTAATAGATAGGGTGTTACAATGCGGTGGATATAAAAGAGCGATATTCAGCCAAATAGACTGCTACCGATGCAAGAGTCGTTTGTACCACACAAGTTAGTCTTCTTAAAAAGCACCTTCTTAGAACCTCTTGGTACTATTATTAGATTGATTCACTCCTAGCTAATTAAGTAATATATATACCAAATTAAAAAGGGAAATATACATTTTTGATTGAATTATACTAACTTCTTGTTGGGTTGGCATCATGCAAACCTCAAAGGCCAAAGATTCTTCCATTTTTTCTATAAATTCAGCCTCAATTAGAACGGCATTCTAATTATGCACACCAGTATTCGCCACGTTCCTCCAACCACTGATCATTGACACCCGCCGCCGGCCACCGTCACGATGGTTGAAGCGATAGATGCGCCACTACCTCCGACGTCGACCACACCACAAGTCCAAGATATCTCCCTTCACGGCGACGACCCACCGCCTCGTTACATCGTCAGAGAACTCCCCGACCTATCCCCGCCGTCAACCACCATCCCAATCATCGACCTCAGCCGACTCCTCTCCGGCGACGAAGACGGCGGCCGGGAAGAGCTAGGGGAGCTCAAAGCAGCTCTCACCTCCTGGGGTTGTTTCCAGGTTCTTATCTAACACATTAACGTTTTCCACTTGTCATCATAGTATCCTTTACAATCTCTCATATCAAACACAAACATTTATGCCATTAACCAGTTTCTGTGAGTAATTCTAGTTGTGGTAACTTTAAGTTTACACTGATCCTCCATTTAATATTGAATTGTGGAAATTCAAATACACGACCACCTGATCAAATCATTAATAATACCATGTTATAAACTAGTTGGTTCCAATAATTCGAGTTGTTGAGAAAAGATTAATTATGGATCTTATATACCACTCTCTTATACACGCCAGTACTCAACCGAAAACCAACTCATGAGCTTGAAATTCGCACAAGTCTTTCGTACCTTGTGTTTTTTAATCAATTGCTAATATTGGGGGTCGTGGAGATTCAAACACACGATCACTTGACCAAACCAGCTCTGATATCATGTCAAAAACCAATTGATTCAAATAACTCGAGTTTATTAGAAAAAAGGTTGATCGTAGATCTTATATCACTCTCTTACACTTTACGTTGCAGTTGATTGGACACGGGATCCCAGGTGAACTCCTAGACGAAGTGCAGGTATCAGCCAAACAGTTCTTCCGACTCCCGTCGGAAGAAAAACAGATGTGCTTCCGACCGGAAGACGACGTAGAAGGATACGGCAACGACCCAATTCTATCCGACAAGCAGATCCTCGATTGGAGCGACCGTCTGTTGCTAAAGCTCGTCCCGGAGGACACCAGGAAACTCCATCTCTGGCCCACCAACCCCACCCAGTTCAGGTTCCTCATACAACGAAATCACTTTGTTACCTATTCTTACCATGATATCAGAGCCTTCGATGACCCATATATGACCAAAATGTTTCGGTCGATACGCAGGGAAGTGGTGAGCGGATACTCCGACGAGCTAAAGCGGATCGTTGAGGCACTGATGAAGGCGATGGCGAGGTGTGTCGGTCTCGAGGAGGACTGCTTCCTAAAGCAGTATGGAGGCAAGGAGATGATGATGTCAAGGTTCAACCACTACCCGGTTTGCCCCCGACCCGACGTGGTTCTCGGGGTCAAAGCTCATTCGGACGGGTCAGGCGTAACGGTTCTGCTGCAAGACGATAAAGTGGAGGGCCTCCAGATCTTGAAGGAGGGTCGATGGTATGGCGTGCCCATCATTCCCCATGCGCTTGTTGTCAACGTCGGCGATCAAATGCAGGTGTGTAGCTTGATGAATCACAATCGTCGGTTATTGTTTGAAATAAAATTGACATGTGGTGTTGAATTTGGAGAATTAGGATTGTATGGTATACTCATTAGAGATTAAGATATAATATAGTACTATAATCTCAAACTTCAATTGATATATGGTCTAGATAATTCCATTTCAATAGGAATACATGAGTATTGCATCTTGTAGTAGTACACTAGTATGACCTATAAATGATGGGTAAAATGATTAAATTCATCTATAATTTCTAATTTCTTAACGATGGTTGAAATTATTAGAGCAGGTGGAGTTAAAGAATTACTAAAGTCAACTCATGTTTTCCTTTGAATTTTAGGAAAGAGATAAGAGTATATACTAAATTGACACTAATTGTAAAATGAGATTAATGGTGGGTCATAGCCTCATAGACATCTACTCTATAGTATTCTTATCTCAAATTGAAGCTAATTTATGGTATATAATCCCTCACTCATATGGAATACGAGAGTATCATATACTTTTGGAGTATGTTAGTCTGATCTGTGAATGATTGGTAAAAACGATTCAGTTAATCTAAAATTTTGTTATTTTCCTTAACGAATGAAATCATTAGAGTAGGTGGGATTTATAAAAATGGTATTAAAGTCAACCCATGTTTTTTTTGGACTGTAGGAGGCATATGGTACTTCATAATTTAAAACTTAATTTTAAAAAACTAGATTAATGATTGGTGATGGGTGACTAGTCTATTAATTAAAATTGACTTTGATGGCAGATAATGAGCAATGGGATATTCAAGAGCCCAATGCACAGGGCCGCAGTGAGTGCAACGAGGGAGAGATACTCACTGGCAGTGTTTCACTTGCCGGATCCAGAAGTTGAGATTGGGCCGGCCCAAGATTTGGTGACCAAGGAACTGCCCCAACAATACAGGAACCTCAAGAACTACTCTGCCATCAACTTTGATTGTTTCCAAAAGGGTGAAATTGCTCTTGACTCGGTCAAAATATGAAGCTAGCTAGTCCATAAGATCCTTTAAGTCTGCAGTGGCAGAGCTACGATTCTCGTGTGATGGTAGTAGGAGGATTCGTTACGACTTACGACCCTCTTCAACATTTGTTCAATGTTTTAAAGTTATGTTCGTGTGTTGAGAAAACATTAAAAAGTTGAAGTAGTAAGATGAGTACTACTAGCCTCTCTTCTTCAAAAACTATGTCCAATCGGAGAAGTTGCTACAAGTTCTTGTTTTTAACCGTCCTCAATTTTAAATCTTGGCGCTGTCACGGCTTGTTTGTGTATTTACATTGATCGGTTATACAGAATGCTTACAGACATTGGGATAGAAAAAAAAAGTTAATTGCTGATTTTTTTTATACTTCAATATATAATATATTAATATTTAAGTTTAGAATAACAGACGTACCAAATACTTTTTTTATCTCTAGTAACTCGATTTCCTATCCAAACTGTCCACATTAATTAGCATGTTGACGTACCCAAAAACAATAATGTAATACAAATTCCTCAAACTCATACCCGTCCAAATAATAACAATGAACATCTTTCTATTTCTATTAGTATTAGTGTATTGCTTTGCCATAGCCTTGATGTAGACATTTTTCACAAAAATATGAGGGGATTTAACGACCAAAACTTTATCGACTTGCTATAATTATTTTTAGGATATATTTATGATGCAACTTCAATTTTGGAGGTGCATCCAATAATTATCATTTTGATTCGTCAATGTACCATCATATTAAACGTTTACTTATGATTAAATCTTCGAATTTGATAAGTTTAGTATGATTTTAAAATAATGTATAATGCGGAATCAAAGGTGTAATTTAAGCGCAATAATTGTATCTTTTGGAAACATAAAATATTTTTGAAACTAATCTTTACATACTCCTCACTCCTCAGGCTGAGATCAAGGATTATCACGAAACAGTTGTGATTAACAAGCACACGATTAGGAATTCCCCCAAGAATCAGCTGTTCTTTTGGCGGCAAAGCTCGAAATCCACATCTTATAAAAAGGCGGGAGAGATTAATTAATTACCCTTGGAAAATCTATGCTAATTTCCTCCAAACACCGAACAATCATTCTTCACTAATGGCCACGAACAGTTCGCTAATCGCATCACTACTCTTCCTCCTCAGCATCCTGCTCCGGCCAGCTGAACCGGCCGGCGTCCCCGGAGGCCGAGCTCGGCCGGCGTGGCAGCAGCCGTACCAACAGTACCCGACGGCGGCGGGGTACTACCCGTCGTCGCCGCCGGGAAGCAGCGGGTGGCCGCGGTGGGACCCGTACGGGTACGGTAGGTGCCTGGGGTCGTTGATCATGGAGGGATCTTGCGCGGGGCAGATCCTGTCGTCGTTCTGGACGGGGAGAATTTACCTGTCGCCGGGCTGCTGCGAGTCGGTCCGGCGAGTCGACGACGAGTGCGTCACGACGGCGTTCGCCGCGCTGGCGAACCCTTACTTTGGTTACGCATTGAAGGGATACTGCGCCGCCACCAGGGCTTGGGTTCAATCCCTAGATTAGGGGGTTTGATTGATTAGCGCTAATTGTTGTATCCAAAAGACTACTCGAAAAGATTGCTACTCTAATTAGACGTTCAATTTACTGTATGTTCTTCAGATGAGGTGTGTAAGGGAATGACAATAAAAAGTTCCAATCTTTAACATATTCTAACAATTCGAATTATTCTTAACAAAAATTCGAGAAAGAATGATAAGGTCACATCAATTACCAACCTTTCTTCAGGGAAGTCCTCCATGAATACAGCAGCAAGTTACACGCGCTTCATGATGTCATGCTGAAGGCCATGGCAAGGTCATTGAATCTGGAAGAGAGCATCTTTCTGCGGATGATTGGAGAACCGGTGATCATGTCTGCAAGATACTCCTGTCCTCCATGTCCTCGGCCTTATCATGTCGTTGGGCTCAAGCCGCATTCTGATGAAACAGTGATAAACTTTCCCCTGCAAGACAAAGAAGTGGAAGCGCTTTAAGGTCTGAACGATGGTCAATGGTTTAGAGTTCCAGTCTCCTCGGATGCTCTGGTCCTCAATGCTGGCGAACACCTAGAGGTAAGTAAGCTAAAAGTCTCTTGGGGTGGCAATGCCTGTTGGAAGTTGATCTGCAGCAGAGAATCCGAATCCTACCAGGAGAAGGATTGGAGCAAAACGCGCGCCAAGTCTGAGTTTCAAGTCTAGTGCGTCTAATAAAGGAAACGTCGTCGTCTGGTTTATTTCATTAAGAGTCCCTGAAGTAGTTGTTTGTGTTATTCGAGTCCTGTCCAAGTGTCAAGTGTAGTTGCGTGATTGTAGTTAGTTGGTTAGTTGTGTTAGCTGATTTGCAGGGTCATTGAGTAGTGGTTAGAGTCGTGGAAGCCGGATTATGTGGCTGAAACAAACGTACAAAACCCCCTCTGGTTCATTCTAATAAAGTTTGTCAGATTGCAAACGTATTTGAGCCTTCATTGTGGTATCAGAGCTCAAGCAAGCTGTAACCAAAGCTTTCAAGCTGTAGTTGGGTGATTTGTTGAGAGATTCTGCTGTCAATTGCAGAACTGGGTTGGGAAACACGAGTGAACGTGAGTTGCTGTTGATTTCAAGGTGAGTGCAAGGATTGGCTATCAAGCAAATCTTGTGAGAGAGTGTGAATATGAGTGAATCAGGAGGCTTGGCTCAGGTTGGTCTACCACGGTTTGATGGAGACTATGAGCACTGGAGCCTTCTAATGGAGAATCTTCTTCGCTCCAAGGAATACTGGTCTGTGGTGGAGCAAGGTTATCAAGAAAGACCAACTGAGAACCTGTCTGAAGTTGAAGCCAAAGCCCTCAATGATCTGAAGCTGAAGGATTTAAAGGCCAAAAACTACCTCTTTGGCAGCATCGACAAAACCATCCTCAAGACCATCTCAAAGAAAGGTACTGCCAAAGACTTGTGGGAATCAATGAAAGTTAAATTTCAAGGCAATGCTAGAGTTCAGAAGTCTAACTTGCAAGCTCTTAGAAGGAACTTTGAAATAATTGAGATGAAGGAGGGTGAGTCAGTGAATAACTATTTTGGTAGGGTTATGACCATAGCCAATGCAATGCGCAACTGTGGTGATGAGATGCCTGATGTTCAGATTGTTGAAAAGATCCTTAGAACTCTCACTGAGAAGTTCAACTATGTGGTGTGCTCTATTGAGGAATCTAAGGACATTGCTGAGCTATCTGTTGATGCTCTACAGAGTTCTTTGATTGTTCATGAGCAGAAGTTCTCCAAAAGACAGTTGACAGAAGAAGACCAGGTTCTTAGAACTACCCATGACTTTGGTGGTAGGGGAGGAAGAGGCCAGGGCAGAGGCTTTTATTCTGGCAGAGGAAGAGGTAGAGGAAGGAACTGGAATAAGGAATCAGTGGAGTGCTATAAATGTCACAAACTGGGCCATTACAGGAATGAATGTCCTGATTGGTACACTAATCAGCAGGTTCACTACTCAAGTTCCAGTTATGTGCAGGATAATCAATCCTATGGAGACATGAAAGATGACATGTTGCTGATGGCTCAAGTTGATTATTTTGATGAGTCAAACCAGCAGGAGCATGAATGCTTTATGGCATTTATGGAAGATACCTCTGTGGAGAAGAACTCAGATTGGTGATTTCTTGACTCAGGGTGTTCTAATCATATGACTGGAGAGAAGAAATGGTTCACTGATTTGGATACTACCTTTACCTGCAATGTCAGACTTGGCAACAACTCTAAACTCACAGTTGCTGGTAGAGGAACTGTAAAGCTGGCTGTGAATCAGCTATCTTTGGCTGTGCAGGAAGTGTTCTATGTACCTGGGTTGAAGACCAATCTGTTGAGTGTTGGTCAATGGCAGGAAAGGGGTCTTTCCTTCTTGATTAAAGATGGCAGCTGCAAAATATTCCATGAGAACAAGGGACTGATCTTGCAGACAGAAATGAAGTCCAATCGAATGTTTGTGTTACATTCCACTGTAACCAAACCAGCACAGGAAAGTCAAAATGTTCAGTGCCTACAAACTGGAAGAGATGCTGCAGATCTCAATCTGGAGCTATGGCATCGAAGGTTTGGACATATCAATGTTCAACGCCTGCATCAACTACACAAAAAGGGTCTGGTTCAGGGCTTACCTCAACTGAAAGGGAATTCTGGTGGTGTCTGTTCAACTTGTCTGGTGGGGAAACAACATAGACAGCCATTTCCCAAGAAAAGCCAGTGGAGAGCCTCTCAGAAGCTGCAACTCATCCATGCTGACCTTTGTGGTCCCCTCACACCAGAATCAAACAGTGGGAAGAGGTACATCTTTACCATAACTGATGACTTCAGCCGCAAGTTATGGGTTTACTTTCTGTCAGCTAAGTCTGAGACATTAACCTGGTTTAAGAAATTCAAAGCTCAGATTGAGAAAGAAACTGGTCAGGCTATTACAAGTCTTAGGACTGATCGAGGTGGGGAGTTCATGCTGACAGAATTTAAGGATCTTTGTGATGAAGCTGGGATTAGAAGACAGTTAACTGCTGCTTTAACTCCTCAGCAGAATGGTGTAGCTGAGAGGAAGAATCGCACAGTGATGAATATGGTGTGTTGTATGCTTCGAGATATGAGTGTTCCTGTTGCTTTCTGGGCTGAGGCAGTGACCTGGGCCACACATGTTCTTAATCGAAGTCCTACAAGTGCAAATCAAGGCAAGACTGCACAGGAATTGTGGACAGGAAGTCCTCCATCAGTGTCACATTTTCGAATCTTTGGCTGCATAGCCTATGTGCATATACCAGATCAGAGGAGGAGGAAGCTTGATGATAAGAGTTCCACATGTCATTTTCTTGGCATTTCCAGTGAGTCAAAGGCTTACAGGCTCTACAACCCTACAACCAAGAAGATAGTAGTAAGTAGGGATGTGGTTTTTGATGAGAGTCATGGCTGGACAGAAGTGTTAGATGAATCAACCAAATCTCAGCAGCTGGTTTGGGATGGAAGAGATGATGAGTGGGATGATTCTGATACAGATTCAGAAGTCTCTCCAGAACCTGACAGCAATCCATCATCTTCTTCAGATTCACCACCAAGTCCTACAACACCAACAGCAGCTGATACATTGAATAATGATCCTGAAGATGAAGATGGTGGTTCTCACACTGATGTATTGGGACTTCCTCCCAGGGTGAGGAAGCCTCCAGCTCACCTGTCTATTTATGACTGTGGCTTTACAGATACAGACTGGGTGGTTATGGTGGCACTGGCTGATGATCCTCAAACCTTTGAAGAAGCTGTCAAGGATCCTGTATGGAGAGCAGCTATGAATCTGGAGTTTGATAGCATTGAGAGAAACCAGACCTGGAAACTGGTGGAACTTCCTGCAGGAGTCATTCCAATTGGTTGTAAGTGGGTCTATAAAACCAAACTGAAGGAAGATGGTGAACTGGATAAGAAGAAGGCCAGGCTGGTTGCAAAGGGATTTGCTCAAAGACAAGGGGTTGATTACAATGAGGTGTTTGCCCCAGTTGCAAGGTGGGATACAATCAGAACTATCCTAGCCTTGGCAGCTCATTATGGTCTGGTGGTCTATCAATTAGATGTGAAGAGTGCTTTTCTTCATGGAGAGCTCACTGAAGATGTATACCTGGAGCAACCTCAAGGCTTTGAGGTTGCTGGGGAGGAACACAAGGTATACAAATTGCAGAAGGCTCTCTATGGTCTGAAACAGGCTCCCAGAGCTTGGTATGCCAGAATTGAGGCATATTTCATCAAGACTGGCTTTGAGAGGTGTCCATATGAACACAATTTGTTCATCAAGAAATCTGGAACTGACATTCTCATTGTCAGCCTTTATGTAGATGATGTTCTGTATACCAGCAACAGTCAAGCCTTGATTGAGGAATTCAGAAGATCCATGGAAGCTGAATTTGAAATGACAGATCTTGGTAGAATGAGGTACTTTCTGGGAATAGAGGTAACTCAAACTGATTCTGGTATCTTCATTTGCCAACAGAAATACATCAGGGAATTGCTGCAGAAGTTTAAGCTCTCTGACTGTAACTTTGTTAACAATCCATTGGCATCTGGAGTCAAATTATCTAAGGCAGGTGATGGGGTTCTAGTAAATCCAACAGAATACAAGCAACTAATTGGTAGTTTGCTGTATGTGACTGCCACCAGGCCTGAGGTAATGTACACAGTCTGTTTACTTAGCAGGTTCATGGAGTCTCCTACTCGACAGCATTTGCTTGCTGCTAAGAGAGTGCTAAGGTATCTAAAGGGTTCAGCAGATTCTGGAATTTGGTACAAGAAGGGAGATGGGGAGGATCAGTTGTTGGGTTACACTGATAGTGATTATGCTGGAGATGTAGATGACAGGAGAAGTACTAGTGGGTATGTCTTCTTTCTTGCAGGTGGGGCTGTCTCTTGGGCATCAAAGAAGCAACCTATAGTTACTCTTTCCACCACTGAAGCAGAGTTCATAGCTGCTGCCTACTGTGTAGCACACTGTGTCTGGTTGAGAAGGATTCTGGAAAGTGTAGGTTGGAGCAGCAGTGTAGCAGAGAAGACAACCATACTTTGTGACAACAGCTCGGCCATTAAGTTGTCTAGAAATCCAGTGCTGCATGGTCGAAGTAAACATATTGATGTCAGGTTCCATTTCATCAGGGAACTAGTGAAGGAAGGGGTAGTTGAGCTGGAATACTGTCGATCTGAGGAACAAGTTGCAGATATCATGACTAAGGCTCTAAAGCTGGAATCATTTCAGATCTTGAGAAGCAAACTTGGTGTGTGTGACTTGGCTGAGGTTGGTCGAGCAAGGTGAAGTGTTGATCTGAAGTTCATGGCGCGAGGAGCTTCAGATCAGGGGAGGATTTGTTGGAAGTTGATCTGCAGCAGAGAATCCGAATCCTACCAGGAGAAGGATTGGAGCAAAACGCGCGCCAAGTCTGAGTTTCAAGTCTAGTGCGTCTAATAAAGGAAACGTCGTCGTCTGGTTTATTTCATTAAGAGTCCCTGAAGTAGTTGTTTGTGTTATTCGAGTCCTGTCCAAGTGTCAAGTGTAGTTGCGTGATTGTAGTTAGTTGGTTAGTTGTGTTAGCTGATTTGCAGGGTCATTGAGTAGTGGTTAGAGTCGTGGAAGCCGGATTATGTGGCTGAAACAAACGTACAAAACCCCCTCTGGTTCATTCTAATAAAGTTTGTCAGATTGCAAACGTATTTGAGCCTTCAATGCCATGATGGGGAACTGAGATTTAAGCATCTAACACAACATGATATGAATGAAATATGTAAACAGATAATGAGCAATGAAGAGTTTAAGAGCCCGATTCACAGAGCAGTTGTGAACTCTGAGAGGAAGAGGATATCCCTGGCTGCACCTTCTATTCCTCACGATGGTAATGAAATAGAACCGGTTGAAGGTTTGGGCAGTGAAGAAAGGCCAAGGCTATTCAGGAAGGTAAAGTACAGCGGAAGTATTCACCTTCACCACTATCCGAGTGGAACGAGAATGATCGATGACGCAAGAATTTAAGTTTCATGAACAAACTACGCCTCCTTGGTGTTGTAGACTAAATCTGCAAACAAATGAACAATGTAGAAGCAATTATCTTCAAGAAATTTGTAAGCTTTACTAAAGACGGAGTCCAGGAGGTCTATTTGCAGCTCGTTTTAACTGTCCATCTAATTGATCTAACACGGACATTATGTCATCCGAGGAATGGTGACACTTGTCCGATGCTGCAAACTGATGAACTCTCTTCTCCACCTCAATCCAACTGGACCCAGGAGAACACTTTTCAACTCCAAGTTCCTTCATCTTCCACCTAATGTTTGCTGCATCACTCCACCGGTTAACCTGAGTGTGCAAGCTAACCAAAAGAGCATAATGACCACTATTGCCCGGTTCTAACACCTTTAACTCCTCAACAGCAATCTGTGCAATCTCAAAGTTCCTGTGAAGCTTGCATCCGCCAAGCAATGCTCCCCAAATAACAGCATTTGGTTCCAACTTCATGGTTCTGATAAGCCTGAGTGCTTCTTCAAGCAATCCGGCTTTGCTCAAAAGATCAACCATACAACCATAATGCTCCAGTTGTAGAGGGCAAGAATAATCACGAGTCATGCTTTCAAACCACTTTCGGCCTTCTTCAACGAGCCCTGAGTGAGCACAAGCACTTAGGATGCTGATGAAAGTCACCCCATTGGGTTTGATTTTCTCCGTCTTCATCTTGGAAAACATTGCTAGAGCTTCTTCTGCATATCCATGGACTGCGAGCCCCTCGATGATGGAGTTCCAGCAAAAGAGGTTTTTGTGTCTCAATTTGTAGAACACCAACAGGGACCTCTCTAAGGACCCACATTTTGCGTACATATCGATCAGAGAAGATCCAACATAGACATCAAGGTCGAAGCCATTTTGCATCACATAGTGATGGATTTCCTTGCCTAAGTCGAGGGCTCCGAGATGGGCACATGCTGAAATCACACTTGCCAAGGTCACTTCATCAGGGATAACCTCATTCTTGGTCATCTCATTGAAGACTCCTAGTGCTTCTCTGAACTTCTGGTTCTGGGAATAGCAGTTGATCATCGTAGTCCATGAAATAACATCTTTAGCAGGCATTTGATTGAATAGCAATTCAGCTGACTCTACATCCCCCAATCTTGCATACCCGTCCAACAATGTGTTCCAAGAAGCAATATTCCTTCCAGGCATCAAGTCAAACAACCTCCTTGCGGAATTCAAATCCCCTGCACGAGCAAGACAAGAAACCATCGTGGTCCAAGCGAAGACATCTCTCTCAGGCATTTCATCAAACACCTTGATGGACTCACCGATTCTCTTAAAATCAAAGTAAAACACTATCAACGTCGTGCAGACAAACACGCTCGAAGCAAGCCCATGTCTCCAAATCTGCCCGTGAACTGATTCGCCAACTCTCCCACCGTCGCCGCCTACAAAGCCGCAGGCTTTAACAAGAGACGAAAAAGTATAACTCGTTGGCGACAACTGAGCTCTCAGCACCTGAACATAGCACTCAACAGCATCAATGGGTCGACGATTCTCGACAAATCCTTTAAGCATCGCATTGAAAACAAAAACATTCGGATTCTCCATCTGGGCAGCCGCGGAGACGGCCTGGTCCGCCGCGCCAACGGAAGAACAAGCCGTGATGAATTGGTTCATCAGAAAGCAATCTTGGGTTGCTGCTACTTTGATCATATTGCCTAGTCCCGACTCCAAATCTCTGATCTTGGAGCATTGCTTCAAGTGGGTAACTATCAAATTGGTTCTAGGGAGCATAATAATATTAGGCGGGAAACTGGGAAGCAATGAGAAGCCATACACATCAAACGTGATGCACAGTTGTCTTCATAACTTAAGCATAAACCAAGCGGCAGAATAATACAGAGTTGGGTCCTTCCTAGAACATTTCAGATTTTCTAACTTTTCCTTCCTAAGTCTTCTTCTTTGGCGAGTGACTCGTCTTATTTTAATTGTTCCTGTCATGTTGTCACGCCAATCGGCTTGCCGGGCGGTCCAACCTGGTTAAACTAATGTCAGTCATGAAATCGGCATAAAAATACAATTGATATGATCAGGATGATCGATTTAGGAACTCTAAATAAAATGACGTTATTTTAGTACATTTGATTGATAAGAAATGAATTTATTATATTTTTATGAATATAAAAGTTGAAAGTTGATGTAATTTGTTGAATTCAGATATAAACGTTTAGAAATTGACGTTAAATTTTGTATTTAAATATGAGTATTTGTTATTTTATTTGGAATGTTGTATTTTATTAAGCTGACATGAACTGAAACAAACCAATTGTACCACTGATTGCATGATTCCACTTGCTAAACCAACGGAACGGTATAAACCCGTTGTTGGGACGAGTATGTACCTAAGATAGCCCGAAATAAGGTAGCCAACATTATGATAGAGCTGAATCCAACAATCTTGAGACATATAATTTCGGTTGTAATTACATTTTCAGTAGTCGATGCAAAATCAAGTGATCTTTTTGCTAAAAATCAAAGTTGAAAGACCACATTGTTAGTCACCTCAAAGTCAATTGTGCACTTCTGATATTTACCCACTGTTTCGCCGACAAAACAATCTTGATTCTGGTGGAGTACTGACCTTTCTCAGTCTCCGTTGAAAATTATGTTGCTGGTGGTGGTTCTAATGACGATGCTCCTCCGTCCGGCGACCGCCACACCCAATGAATTCGAGCGGGCAACCAATCCTCCCGGCGGCGGCGTTCCCCCTGCTCTTCGCCGTTCATCTTCTCCCCCACCTTTCCCCGTCCAACTCCCCCGGTGGCGCCACCACGTTTTCCTCAACTTCCGGGGGCCGGACGTCCGCCGCGCCTTCGCCGATCACCTCTACCACGCCCTCCTCCGCAAGGGAATCAACGCCTTCCGCGACGATCGCGACCTCCCCCGCGGCGAAAACATCACGGAGGCGATCCCGCGGGCCATCGAGGAGTCAAGGTTCTCCATCCTCGTCCTGTCGAGAGGTTACGCCTCGTCGGCGTGGTGTTTGGACGAGCTGGTCAAAATCCTGACCTGCGCCAAGGAGATGGGTCACCAGCCGTTCCCGATCTTCTACAATTTGTCTCCCGACCAGATCTCCGCTCCGTCCTCCCCCTCCGGCTATTACAAGCACGATTTCGATCGGCACAAGAAGGAATACAGCTACGAGAGGGTCCACAGCTGGCTCCACGCTCTCGCCTCCATTGTCGATATATCCGGCTGGATCCTCACGGAAAGCACGTATACACCTCGCCTCGCATCACCTCACCTCTTTTGGTCATTTTCACAAACACCTTATCTGCATTAACCAACTAAGCTACCTCTTTTAGACATTTTCACAAACAGCTTAGCTGCATTAACAATGTACCGAGACTAACCTTGTTTCATCAAAATTTTAGATACGAAGCCGAATTGGTAGAGGATATCGCCTCGAGCATGCTGCGGAAGGTCCAGGAGCTCCATTGGTCCTCCTCCTCCTCCTCCATCACAAGCGTCTTCCGGCAGTCAATTAGGCAATCTCTCCATATCCACAACGGAGAAATGAATGCCACTCCGGACAGAGTGAATCATGACTCCCCACCAGCAGCCGAATACGAACACCTCCAATTCTTCAAACCGAAGATCTCACCGCAGGGTGAGAAGACGGTGAGAATCCCCAAAACCGTCGCACAAGAAGGGATCAAGAAGTACTCGCAACTGGCTCTGCTTGGGCAGCGGTTATCCTCCTTGGACAGCGGAAGTGTAGTTGGTCATCTGAACACCAGCATCCTCATGAAGGAAGCAAACCGGCTGTGGAACAACGGCCGGTCATCGAAGATCATAGGGGTCCAAGAAGTAGGCGGCGCAGGGGTGTACATCTTCACGTTTCCCGACCGGGAAACTCGAGACACGGTGGTGGAATCTTCGCCCTGCTGCATTGCCAACTGCTCCTTCGCGATGAGGAAATGGGAGCCGAGTATGCAGCTGCTGCTGCACCGTCGGTCCCCGACGGTGCCCGTGTGGGTGCGTCTGGTAGGGGTTCCAGTGGAGTATATGACCCCCCGAGGGCTGAGCTATGTAGCCAGTTCTCTCGGGAGGCCGCTGTACGTGGACAGAGCTACCGCAAGTGGAACTCATCAGCTCGCATTTGCCAAAGTCTGCGTGGAGATGATGATGCGACCTGGTGATGGTTATCGCCGCGATCAGGGGTTTACTACCTCCTCCATTTCGGTTGCTATTGATGGTGAAGCGATGGTCGTGGCCGTGAGAGTGTTGTACCAATGGAGTATGCCTTGCAGCAACAGCATGACTACTACTGCTACTACGACTGCTGCTACTCAACAAATCGCTCCTGCTCCTAGCCAGATGCAGAAAGCTCGACAAATCGCTCCTGCTGCTCTTAGCAGGCTGCAGAAGGCTCAAAAGTTCATTCTTCCGAGTTCTTTCCGTGAAATTCTCATGTCGGTGGTAATTGGACCCAGGGCGCAGCCGGCGGCGCAGAGCTGATGCATTATGGAGTACATCGTCAAACCTGCTGGAAATGATACGGTGGGGAATTACTCCGAGGATAGAAACCAAAAATTATACATGATGCAGCTAGCGCTAACGCAACTCCGTTAACATCCTCTTTGAAGCAAATGTATTACATAATTATTTTTGTAAATTCATCCTCTGTGATCTGCTCGTATATTCACCTGGAAAAACAGTGGAGAGCGCATGAAAGCATTAAACAGCTATAGGCATGAATCAGCCAACAACATTTTAACGGATTTAATTACATCCTCTCGGTTGTCAACCTTGCTTGTACACCAATGAATGGGGGGAAAATAGTTTATTCTCAGTTCTATGTGATATACTTTCATGACAACTCGGTTTACAATAGTACAGTTTCAAGGCACAGTGAAAGCTTTCTGACTAGTGACATTGAGGCCGACCAGTCAGCAAAGAGAAAGAAGTGACGGGAAAAGAACCGCGAGGATTTGAAGGGACTGAACATTCTGATGGGACTCCTCGTGGGAACTTCGCATCGTCGAAGCTCAGGTTGAACTTCGGCCGTGCGTCTACAGTCGCGCATTCCGTTGCGCGCTCTCTCTTGGTTTTCTTCTTGGGGCGGTCTCCTTCTACCGTTACCACCCCTATTTCTTTGCGTACCACGTACGCGCCACCGGCGTCATCGTTGTAGTTGGTCTGTGGTGGAGGTGGCGGGTTCTGGGGGCCTTCAACTTGTTCTTCCTTGACGTGAGTGAACTCGGTTAACAATCCTCGATTTATGAGGCCCTCGATTTCGTACCGTAGCTCGCGGCAGTCTTCTGTCCAGTGACCTGTTGCTCTGTGGAAGTCACAGTGCTTGTTTGGATCGCGCATGTGAGGTCGGGACTTCAACGGAGCGGGCCAATTAAGCTTGTAGTCCTTCTCGCGGAGAACGTGGAATACGTTTCTCACGGAGTCGTTAAGTGGCGTGTAGGTGTTGGACGCCCGTCTATCTGGCGATCGCCGGCGCTGAGCTTGCTCTTGCGGGGGAGGGGGGTATATTTTTGGGCCGCTGTGCAGCTGTACCAATTGGTCTCGTGGGATCGGGGCCGGGGGTTGCCGACGCCCCTGTTCTTCGCGCGGCAACTTTGCCGGTTCAAAGCGCCTGACCGATCCCGCCCCGAGAGTTTCTTCCAACGTGATTGCCTTCTCGATTTTCATTTCCAATTCCGTGGACAGGGTTACGGGCCTTTTTGCTAGCGCCCTCTTAAGCTCCATGTTGCTAGTGGCCTCCATGAGGTGGTGGCCGGCGGTTTCGGGGGTGAGGTCGCGGACGGCCATTGCCACCCTGGACCATCGAGCGTAGAAAGCCCTCAGGCTCTCTCCCTCCTTCTGCTTGATATCTATCAAGGCCTTGAGATGCAGAGGACGTCTCTTCTGCGACGCGAACTTCGTTGTGAACAGGAGTATGAACTCTTCGAATGATCGGATGATTCCGTTCGGGAGTCTGTTGTACCAGTCAAGGCATATTCCAGAGAATGTGGATGGGAAGGTTCTGCACAGCGCCGCGTTGGAGTTGGTTTAAAGCTGCATTCGTAGGCAGAAGGTGCTCACATGGTCTTCGGGGTCGGTCGTGCCGTTGTACGCTGGGAGGGTGGGTGGCGCTCCGCTGAGATGCTCCGCCATAATTTCCGCGCTCAACGGCTGGTGGAGGACCTTTCTAGGTGGGTTGGGTCGGTATTGCGGAGTCAAGTGTTGCTCCAAGAAACTGAGGTCCGCCCGCCCAGGCGGCTCGGCTCCTCGCGTTTCGCACGCGAGGTGTTCCGTTTGCGCGCGTTGTGGTGGTTGGGCGGTCCCCGACGTCTCTCCCAAGGCTTGTTGTGGCGCGGCTGCCATCGCGTCCATTGTCGTCGCGGCTTCCTTGCTCATCATGAGCGCGATGACTTGGCTCATTTGTTTTTGCATGTCCGCTATGACACTGTTTTGCTTCGTCATCAGCTCCCGCACTTCTTTGGCTGTCAGCTCGGGCTCCTCTTCTTCGATGAGCACCGCATTGAGGTTGCTGGCTTCTGCGAATGCCCTAGGATCGGTCATCGCCTTGATGGGCGTCGCTTCGTCAAGTGAGTCGTGGTTGCGTTCTGCCATTGGTTGATTGATTGATGATGATTTTTTTTTTTTGCGTTTCTTCTTGGCCCCACGGTGGGCGTCAATTGTTTGAACCTAACTGAGTGTAGGAGTGAGGTTCGGGGAAAGATGTGGGTCAAGAAGAGTGAACAAAAGGGGAATATCAACGGTCTCGCGGGTAACGGGGATTGAGGGAACGAGATTGAGAGGATAAGATTGGGAGAAAGGAGTCGTAGAGAGAGAAGTTGATGTTTATAGAGATAGAATGCCCAAAATGCGATCCCCTCACCCACCGGAGTAAATGCTGTATTTATAGGCTACATGGTGGTGGGTGAGTGGGTGGACTACGGGATGGTACAATGACATGACCACTGATGTGTCAGGGATTTAGGCCATCCCTCAACCTAGGACTTGTCAGGGGATTGTCTATGATTGTATCTAAAGTCTTGATGTGACCTTCCCTCGGGGGACGCAATGACGCCCTCAGCGGATTGTCGCCCTCTGCGGCCCTTTGGTCTGGTCACCGCCTGGTCTTCACACTCGCGCGCGTAGCTTTATCCTTGCCGCGCCCAAGGTCCTTGTGCCGCCGGTTGTGTCGCGCCCTTGCTGTGTTCGTTGTGGCGCGCGGTCCAATATGTCCCCTTGGCGCAGGGATGGTCCGAGTCATATGCCCAACAATAACAAACAAATATCAAGAAAGAAATAATAAATATACTAGAAGGTAATAATAAGTATTTAAAAACAATATTAGAAGATCTATTTAAACTCCTAATCCAATTAGAAGCAACACTAAAACCAGTTAAAATAAAATCCAATCGACCATCAATACATCAACACTAAAGAAGAATAAATGAAACACAATCAGAAAGAATTACACATATTCCAGTAATTGGAAACAAGTTTAGAAAGAAAAGAGACAGAAAGTAACCAAGTAATAAGTAAACTATATAAGCTACAAAATTCACTAACAAATCTAGAAAAGAAAATATGACTATAGTAAGAGAATTAGATTTTTTGTTGTTAATTTAACTAATATGGAACATATGCAATATAATATTTTAAAATTACAGGGAAATTTAACATGAAAAATTAGACAACATCAACATGATGTAAGAGAAGTAAATATAACAACTTCATATTATTTATATCGAGACAGAATTCGTAGGATATATTTGCTTTATGGAATATTTCAATTATTAGAACACATAATTATAATTGAAAATACTTATGATGATAATTAACTAAATTTTTTATTTAAATATTGGTTTGGTATCTGAATCTTTAAAAGATGATTCCAACTACACAGAATTCATAGGATATATTTACATAATGATAATTGAAAATACTTAAATGATAATTGATTCTGAATTTTCTATTCCAAAATTGGTTTGGTACCAGAGTCTTCAATAGAGGATTCCAACTAAACAATAAAAAATGATGTTTTTCATAAGTCCAAAATATTTCTTACAATAAAAAAACGTAAAAGGACAAATTCTGAAATTTAGAAAATGCATTATTACAATAATATTCTGTCAATTTTAATGGAACGCACTTGACAGTAAACTTAAGTGGTACTGGTGTAAATATAATAGATTTAGTGGGAACGCATCAACAAAAGGTTTGCTTAGAGATTGGCTTGGAAGGTGTAGTGTTGCTTTCGCCTGCAACCTTGGAAAATGTACAATTACACGCGCTGAACTGAAGGGCGCCGTTGCAGGTCTTGAATTGGCATGGGACTTTGGGTATAAAAAAAGTGGAGCTCAACCTCGACTCCACCACTGCTGTCAGGATTATCAAGAACTGGAAGGATGATAACCACTCCCATGGCAATGTTGCTCGACATTTTGGCTAGCTTCTCAATCGGAATGGGATGTGAATGTCAACCATGTTTATAGAGAATGTAATTGTGCTGCAGACTTCTTAGCTTTTAAGGGGTATGAGATGAATTTTGGCACACATCATTTCAATGTGTGGGACCCTCTACTCGAGTATTGGCTTTTGTATAATGTCATGGGAATTTTCACATCCCGGTTGTTAATTTAATAGTCGTTTGGATGCAGTATTTTGATGAGATATTTCGGCCGAAATAATTTGTTTCGCAAAAATAAAATGGAATGTGGTATTTTGTCAATGAGATAATAGAAATAACTCATTGTGAGTTATTTGAAATACTACCCACCCACTAGTTATTTCAAATAACTCATCTATCAACTTCATTTTTCACTTTATCTCTTCTTTAAGCGGTGAAATAGCACAAACAAGACAATTAAACCAATTACCACATTCCAAACTAAAATACCACATGAAATGTTACATAGCAAAATAATACAGTATTTCGATTCAAAATACCACAAATCCAAAATGATATATCCAAACGACCTGTAATTAGGGTTGTTAATGAACCAAGCCGCTCATGAATGGCTCGGTGTGCAACTCGAGAAAAATTCGTTCGACACTTGATTCATTTTAATCAAGTTGGCTCGCGAACAAGCTCGTTAACCAAACGAGCTGAACTCGAGCCATATCATGTTCAGCTCGAAAGCTCGCTAACAAGTTCATTTAATGGTTTGGCATAAAAAAAAGGATTAGAATTCATGGATATTATGTAATGAAATTGGAACAAATATTGTGTTTTACTTTGCTAGACTTTGCTACAGGTTTGAATGTAATTTTGTGCGTAGTTCTAGGTCAATCTTAAGCTGTCATGACCATTTTATGAGCTAAACTCGATTTTGGGCTCGTTAAGCTTATTGATCAGCCGAGCTCGAGCTTTCATTTTCATAAACAAGTCGAGTTCGAGCTTGCATATTAAAGCTCGTAACGAACACGAGCCTAGAAATATATTAACGAGCCGAGCCCGAACTATGACAAAGCTTGACTCAACTCGACTCATTAACCGCTTTAGATGCTTGTCGTCCGTCTTGCTAACAAAAAAGGAAAAAATTCACAGGAATGTCGTCAAGGCGAAGAAACCCGCCTTTGTTGCTTCTTATCTTCCTTTCCGTGTCCATTTCCTTTCTTTTCGTCTCCTCCTCTGCAGCTCCCGAAGCTGAAACTACGACGTTTCATTTCCGAGCTCCTCGATTTCATGGTAAAAGCAAAAAAAAGAGAAAGAGTGTTCATTTCCCCCTTCCTATTCTTATGGGTTTCTGAAAGCTTTCCCCCTTTTTTGATAAAAATTTGTGTTTACGGGTTTTCCTTTCTTTTAGATTTTTCGAGAGCCGGACATGGCTTAGTGGCGCCATTCGGCATAAGACGCCATCTCGCCGACGACAACTCGACGGAGGTCGGTGATGGGAATTCGACGACTTTTGTATTGGCTGGAGAGAGGACTCGAAGGAAAGATCCATCGGATAACTTGGAAATTTACACTGGTGGATTCAACATCAGCAATCTTCACTACTGGACTGTGAGTTAAAAAAAAAAAACTAATCTTTGGATTGCCCTCACCTGTTTCAATGGTTTCTCTCAGCTGGGTTTTCAGTGATTCCTCAATCCATCTCTCACTTTGTGAAATTAGCTGATTTTGATTGACTAATGCTGCTGGTTCTGTGTTATGGATCGACAGTTCTATTCAATTCTGGTTTTCTCCTGGCCATTAGCAGTCTGTTACCAAAATCTGGGGTATTGCTGCTTCAACGAGTAATTGAATTTTGCTCCTGAATTGCAGTCTGTGAGTGCTACAGCAGCTCCATTCTTTCTCGTAGCTGGACTTTGGTTTGCAGTCTTTGGGATATCTCTAGCCTTAACCTGTCTATGCTATTGCTGTTGCCCTAGAGAGCCTTATGGCTACTCTCGAACTTGCTACGCCATCTCCCTCATCTTCCTCGTCCTTTTCACCATTGCAGCAATGTAATATGACACTCTCGTCCTCTCTTTCTTTATCCCATATGGTTGTTACACCCCTCTTCATGCGGATTGGTAACTAATTGTTGGTGGGGGAATTCACAGTGCTGGATGTGCTGTTCTGTATACTGGACAAGGGAAGTTCATAGGCATAACATCAGACACATTGGATTATGTTGTGAGCCAGGCAGATGTAACAGCCGAAAGCCTCAAGAACGTGTCGGGGTATCTTGCTGCAGCCAAGTCGGTTGATGTGGTCAAGATTTACTTGCCTGCCGATCTGCGGGGTACACTAGATAACCTTGTGGCGAAGACCAACTCGTTCGGGAACACATTGTCCAGCCGAACTCAGGATAACAGGAGGAAGATTAAGGATGGGTTGAATGGCGTGTAAGAAGCTCTTTCAAACTTGAACCAGGTATCTGAGCTTGTTTGTTTGATCATTTCTTGATGACCATTTCTTGTTTGCAGGAGGTTGGCTCTTGTGATCCTAGCAGCTGTTATGCTTTGTTTGGCATTTCTTGGCTCATGTAAGTTCTCTTCTATTGTTTGAAACATTGCAGGTGTTAGTTTTTAGTTCTCTTGCTTTCCTTCTGATATTGTGATGACTATATTTTGCAGTATCCTCCATTTTTGGGATGACTTGCCTTTTATACTTGTAAGTGATGATTATAATCAAGTTATATATGTCCTAACTATTCAGAAACCAGAAATGACGGTGCTGAATGTTCTGCACTTTGTTAACTGCAGCCTGGTGATTCTAGGATGGATCCTTGTTGCTGGCACATTTATCTTATGTGGCGTCTTTCTTCTTCTCCATAAGTAAGTTCCTTTTTGTTCTGTTCTCCCATTCGTTAATCGTTCACTCCCTCATCGCCCTTTTCACCCTACCAACCTCTGTCCATCATCGTTAAAATCTCCCTTCCAATACTCCTATGGTTGTTTGGAACCTCTCCCTCCATCAAACTTAATATGCTCTTGGTTTGGTCTTTCTCTTTCGTGTCATCTTATCATCACCATCCAGTGTGGTGGCGGATACATGTGTTGCAATGGACGAATGGGTCCAGCACCCTACGGCCAAGACGTTCATGGACGATATCCTCCCATGTGTGGACAATGCAATTGCACACGAAACGTTGGTGCAATCGAAGCAGGTCTCTTTCCATCTCATCAACTTGGTTGACAACTTCCTCGCCAATTTCTCCAACCGCAACTTCCCCCCAGAACTCGGACCTCCTCTCAACTACAATCAATCTGGTCCGTTGGTTCCTCTTCTCTGCAACCCCTTCGACTCCGATCTCACCGACAAGGACTGCGCTCCTGGTGAAGTCGGCTTCCATAATGCTACTGAGGTAAGCATTCCCCCATGGATGATCAATCAGGAACTTTGTTACATGTCAGTGTATTTTGCTTAATGCTCTTAGTGTCACTGAACTTATTTCTTTCCAATGCAGGCATGGAAATCCTATGTGTGCCAAGTCTCGAGCGCCGGCACGTGCACAACGCCCGGCCGAATGACTCCACAGCTGTACTCCCATATGGCGTCCGCCGTGAACGTGAGCTACGGACTTTACCGCTACGGACCGTTCCTGACGGAGCTACAAGACTGCACGTTCATGAGAAGAACGTTCACTGACATCAACACTTGGTACTGCCCCGATCTCCGACGGTACACGCAGTGGATCTACGTCGGGTTGGTGATTGTCTCGGCCGCGGTGATGCTGTCGCTAATCTTCTGGGTGATCTACGCCGGAGAGCGCCGCCACCGTGTCTACACCAAGCAGTTCATGATTGGTGGTGGAGATCACAATAGGCGTCTTGATCAGTGGCGGAGTAAGGAATTTTATGTAGGGGTATCCCTTTCAAAAATTAAATTTAAAAAATTTAAAATTTTTTAGATAAGATAATGTCCGCCGAGTACAAGTTACTTACTATAAAAGTTCACGATATGTTATAATATTTGAAAAAAATTGTAAAAATATATTCACTATCTACACTCTACAGTGCTGAACAATTATCTTTCTGTATATCCTACTAGAAAGTAATTCGGGAACTGATCGCCTATTCGAGTCAAAACCATTGCCCATAACCATTGCGGATATGAAGTGGCACTGAGCGAGTGAGTTTATACAATTTGAACCCAAACCATTGCCCATAAGAACTGCTCTAATCGTCGGGTGACCAAACGAACGGAATGATCTTCGTCCTCCACTTTTCCCATTAATTTCAAACGGTAGACTTCCTGCTTTGATTCAATACCCTGTTGCAATCCGTCCAAAATCACCAAGTTGAGTCTCTAACTACTCATCCTCCGTCCACATCCCAACTTCATGTGAGATTGATTTTATGCAAGGGTCAAATTTGCAATTACATGCCATTAAAAAAAGAAGTAAAAACACTGTTTTTTTATGATATTTTAGGAAGGGGCTAGTATGCTAACAATGTTATTGTTATTAGTGCTAAAAATGTTCATGTTTAGTCACTAAAAATATTTAATTCCATTCGTGATCACTAAAATGAGTTAAACACTTCAAATTTAGTCACTCTCCGTCAGCGGCGGATCCAGGATTGGGTAGAGCACTGGGCCACATTGGAAAAAAACAGAGAAGGCTGGGCCGTAACACGACGAACACTGAAACGAACACCTAAACGAACACCAAAAATCGAAAATTTACACGTGCTATACTAGCTCTGGATCGAGGGAGGGCTGGGCCGCGGCCCGGGGGCGGCCCCCCGCTGCTCTCCGTCCAACTCCTTAACTTTGTGTGACGCGGCAGTCAACTCTCATAGTTGACCGTCAAATTTAGTCACTCTCCGTCCAACTTCTTAACTTTGTGTGACGCGGCAGTCAACTCTCATAGTTGACCGTTAAATGAGTGATGTGGCAGTTAAAAAACAAAAAAAATAATTAAATTTAATATTTAAAAATTTCCAACTCATTTCAACCATTATTAAAAAATAAAAAATAAAACCTCTTTACCTTTTAATCCTTAAATCACACAACCCTAACCCAACCTCACCCCTTTCACCGCTACAAACTACATCTCCGGTGTTCACTCTCCTTCACCGATACAAACGTTTGCTGCCTCTGCTTCTCACTACTCCATTTCCTCTGCTTTCGGAACCAGCGGAGCGGCCTTTTCATCATCCCTTGTTGTCCTTCACCCAACAAGGAAATACACCGCAAATGCGACATATTCCTATCCCAGATTGACATTTGGTTCTTCAATTTGAGGAAACTGTCCGGGTCTACTAGGAGATCCGCAAGAAGCTTCCTGCTTCGTTCCATCGCCGCCTCGAATTCCTCTGTCGCGATTCACTCCGTCGGTCGGCTAATCACCTGTGTGGCTACCTGGATCTACGAATTAGTCGCCGTAGCTGCTCTCCCTCGCCAACGATCAGAGCCCCGTCGTTCTCGTTCTAGCACAGGGCAGCGATGAGCTTAATCTGAGTCGGCCAGAGACTCCACCCGTCGCTCCCACTCTCTCGTATTGGCTTACGGCTTCGGGTAGGATGGTGCCGGCGACCCCAGAATCTTTACTTGGAGGGAGATATGAAGAAACCATCTTGGCTTTCCATTGTAGATTAATCCCTTTCACCCTCAATTACCCCCCAAAAACTCCCTCACTCAAAGATGCCACCTACATCGGATTGATGATTTTCATGTCCGCCGAGACTATCCTCTCCATGGCGAGGTGGTGTAGAGTGAGAGGGCGATATTGTGATGTGGGAGAGGGAGGGCGAGGTGGCTGGCCGACGGGGAAGCAAATAGGGTTCAGATCCGCCGAGAAGGTAGTAGCGACTACAACGACCTCGGCTGGGATGGGGATGCTGCCGAAGAAATTAGATTTATTGGGGATGATAAAGAAATTTTATTTTTTAAATGTGATAATGAGGTGTAAATATAAATTTAATTAAATTTTTTTATTTTATTATTATTTAATTGTCACATCACTTATTTAACGGTCAACTATGAGAGTTGACTGCCACATTAGACAAAGTTAATGGAGTTGGACGGAGAGTGACCAAATTTGAAGTGTTTAACTCATTTTAGTGACCACGAATGGAATTAAATATTTTTAGTGACTAAACATGAACCTTTTTAGTAATCACAATGAGCAACCTTGCAATTTACCCTAATTTTTTTTATTTAAATGAGTTAAACACAATTAATGAAGAGGAAGGAGAGACACGCTGGTCATTAATAAAAATTGGAGAAATGGAGATTCACGTGTGTCTTGTGCAATTAAATGGGGAAGGAAAAATCCACACCAGAAACCACAAAATCTAGACCACAAACCACAAAAATCCTCATCACAAAATCCACACCAAAATTCATACCACAAACCACAAATTTCACACCACAAGTTTCTTAAAGTAGTCCAGAAGTTTCTTTAACACGAGACCTATTTGTAAAATTTAATAATTTTAGGTATCAAAATGTAAGAGAAAAAGTTTAAGGTGCTAAAATATATTTTTCATCAATGTTGTAAGGACTAATATGTAAAAAAATTATTTTAGGTACTAAATATTAAAATGTATTAAGTTTGAATACCAAAACTGTAATTTATATATAAAACTCTATTACAACCAAGAGTTAATTGCACCGGTTGCCACTTAAATTTATTTTTTGTTGCATGGTGACCACCTAAGTGTATTTTGTCGCAATTAAGCCATTTACGTCAAACAATAGTTGCAATTAACCCTATAGGCTACAACCATCATAGAGGAATGGGGAAAGAGGAGAAGGGAAGGGGAGGAGGAATTATACTACTCTTAATGAATCTCCTCCCATATTTTTTATGAATTAACTAGCAATTTACATCAAAATGGTGCAATCTCAATTATTTCAATAGTAAGAAGTATTGGTAAACTAGTAGAACTATAGAAGTTGATTGGCATCATGGTTCTTGGTTAGGTTATGTCTCATTCAATGTTGCTTATGCAACTTCATTTCCTTATTTTGTTTGTTCTTTCATGAATTTTGTTAATGTGGTAGACACGGATAGAAAAAATCTAACAAAAATCTTGATAGAAATTAATAGAAGTGACAATTTTGTTACAAATTCAAACTTTGTTACTATGTCGTTACAAATTAAAAATTTATACATATATTGTACTAAGCAAAGTTTTGTGACGGTTTATAATAACTACCCAGAGAAACCAAATGTGCATATGGAGCACAAGAAAACAACGAAGTTAGGCATTGGAGGATCCAATATGTAAAATGCCCAGTGAATCTCATTTGCTTTTATCATTTCTAGAAGAAAGTATCATTCTAAGCCTTGTTCATATATAGCTTGATGCCCATAAAAAACATGCTTCCTTTCCTATGATTAATTTTTTAGGTAATGAGTCATTTCATGACTATTGAGGTTGTTGTCGATTATTTGTCTTCCACGAATAATGTCATTTGACATAATCATAGGGAAATTCTATATATGGAACGAATCTTTCTAATCTATTGGCTAATAGCTTCGTTCCTAGTTTGTAGAACACTTGACAGAGACAAATCGATATCAATTGTTTCATCGTCTTGGCTTTCGTACTTTTAGAAACCAATGCAATTTATGTATGACTAAAGTCACGGAGAAGGCGTCATGAGCGTAAAAATGATAGCTCGGTCGTTGTTACCTCGTTGTTGGATAAGGTACATCTCTGTTTCATTGCTGAATCTTTTTGTCATCAATGTGGAAAGTTGATAATGTAAAAGAGATGAGTTCGTGAAACAGAAATGGATGGAGAGCAATTAGGGATTTTGACTTGGAAATAGTCAGCAGTTAATTTGACTCTAATCTTACCGAAATTGATTTAACCCATTTTCTGAGTGCTGGTTTCAACTGGGCTGTATGATGAAGGGGCCCGTCAAACACAAAGGAAAGTTGTTGGGCCAGCTTTCAACTAGGCCCGCTTCTTAACTCAGGGAAGAGAGATCGAGATTGTCTTCTTCACTGAGAAGCTCGAACCAGCACAAAGAGACGCGAAACAGGGGAAGTTAATGGCGATCAAAGAAAATTGCAGAAAGTAAATGACACAGGGATTTTTAACGAGGTTCACCACAGGGTTACTCCTCGTCCCGGAATAGTAGACACTATTCCGAGAGACACTTTGATTTTCTTGACTCTATGAAGAAGAACGAAAAGAACTCAAAAATACAGACGCAAATGTGAAAATCAAAGCGATGGAATCAAGACCCGAATTCGCACAGGGTTGGCTACACCTTTGACCAACTGAACCTATTCCTCAGTTGTGATCAAAGCCACTATCAATTCCCCAACCCTTTGCCCTTTTCCACAAAGAATCCCAGAATGAAGCACTTGAAATGATCCTCGGCCTTCATTTAAATGGTTCTTCAAGATAGCCGTTGTAGCTCTGTCTTTTGAATTGATTCAGTCAAGGAAGATTTAGGATTCCACTGATCATCTCCCCCTTGATTCCATTGATCAGCTCCCCCTTGATTTCGGCTTGATTTTCTTTAATTCTTCCTTTTCAGGGAAAGCAATCTCTGACTTGATCAGATTGGAATCTTTCAATCCAACAATATCCCCCTAAGTTAGAGATTGCTGATTGTCCGATTGAACCATGCAAAAGCAACTATACTCTTCCCAAAATATAACAATATCGAACATCCAACCACACAAAATTTCAAAAATCCCAAGTCTGAATAACAGCTGGTGAAAAACATGTCCAGCAAACCAGTTCAGTCAAACACAGAAAAGACAACAAACAATATTGGCAACTTAGCAGATCATACTGTCAAGCAAAACTACGAAACCACAACTCAAGGTTTAGCAAGGAAACACCACTCAAGGTTTAGCCAGAAAATCAATCAAAATTATAAGCATCCTTGAGGTCAGCCAAGACAGTCGCCAGCGGCGGGTCATCAGAATCATCACTGTCAGAATCTTCACTGCTGTCAGAATCGTCACTGCTGATCGAATGAACTATGATG